GACTTACGAAAAGCCTTTGAGAGCAGAGACACGGTAACTATCGGGACATTTGTCTCTGTGTTGAAGGAGTTAAATGCTCCTGTTGAGCCAGATCACCTCCAAACAGTCATCGCAGCTCATGACCAGAGAAGCGAAGGTCACATCAATGTAACGGACTTCATCAAAGGTGTTAAGTACATAAAGAAAGAGTTTGTCCTGTCCTCCTACATGCCAAAAACACCCGTGGAAAAACAAGGGAAAAAAGGAGGAAAGAAGAAGGGTGGCTATGTCCCTCCCTTTCCTATTTGTACTCTTCCACGAGAGCTTCAGCGCCGACGTCCAGATGGGGGCCCGCCCTTATTCATGATTGAGGATGCCTCCAACCACTCAGACACCAGTCGCTTTTACAGCGATCACCCACCGGAACATCCCCTGATGAACGATTCAGGATGGTACATGGAGACGCCAGAGAAAACCTACGTCAATATCAATTTCTGTGTGAGAAGAGGAGACTTTGCTTCTTTGGACCTTGCATTCAGCAAGGAGGTACCAGTGGATGTTCAAGATGAGTATTACAAGACACCACTAATGGTGGCCTGCTCCATTGGGAACATTGAGATGGTGCAGTACCTCCTTCGTCGCGGGTGAGTAACATCATGTTATTCAGGTTATTTTGGCTGTTTGTGCTTCATCAGGATCATTTACAAATACCATTAATTCATGTCCTGTGGTACTGGCTCGTACGGGACTTAAAGAATACAATCATGACCAAAAGTTTACTGGAATACAAGCAGCCATGTGAGACCACAGAGGCCGTCAGTGATACTGGAACACACACGAAGCCCTGGGGGTGGGCTCGGGGGCTAGAGTCATGATGGCAAATTAGTTATTGCAGGTGAGACTGATTCCAAGGTGGGGGCATGGGACAGCAGTAGCTCAGTAGGTAGAGCGGGTTGTCCAGTAATCAAAAGGTTGCAGGTTCAATCCCGGCTATGACCAGATAATGCTGCTGTTGTGTCCTTGGGCAAGACACTTAACCCACCTTGCCTCTTGGTGGTGGTCGGAGGGACCAGTGGCACCAGTGCTTGGCAGGCCTCGCCTCCGTTGTATATAAGGTCTATAAGGTTTCTCCAACAGCAGATAAAAGAAGCCCTGAAAATATAATTGATGTTATATTTTTTAAAGTCATTTTATTTTACGACCAAGAGGAACTTCAGCAATCATCATTAGATCCCTCTTCTTAGTAATCTCAAGTTTATACAAACTGTCTTCATACAGTACAGAACTAGCCTAGAAATCTAGCTAAAGGATTTAGCTGTACGTGTTGGACTAGCCACGCTCCATAGGAGCCTCAGCAGGTCCACCACTGGCCCGAGCAGCATCCTAATCACAGCACTCTATCCGTTTGGTGGACGGGATGATGCAATGGAGTGGAACAACTAAGATGGCAGTGGCTCCTTTGAAGCGGCTTTGGCATCTACATTGCACAATTTCGACTTGGGCTTTCTTTTAGGGCTACTTTTAGTTAGAAGAAGGATGTTTTTGCTTTTTCTTCACTAGTGTATAGTGGAGTGCCCATTTGACTGACAGAAGCAATGGTGAGTGCATCACATTGCTTGTTGTCCAGTAGCATGTGGAGACTGTTTGAAAGACAACCGTAGATCCCGCCCCACGACAGTCTATGGGTCGTGGTCAGACAGCAGTATCTGACATCAGACATATACAGGTCCTTCCCAAAACATTAGCATATTGTGATAAAGTTCATTATTGTCTGTAATGTACTGATCAACATTAGACTTTCATATATATTAGATTCATTACACACACAACTGAAGTAGTTCAAGCCTTTTATTGTTTCTAATATTGATGATTCTGGCGTACAGCTCATGAAAACCCAAAACTCCTATCTCAAATAATTAGCATATCATGAAAAGGTTCTCTAAACGAGCTATTAAGCTAATCATCTGAATCAACTAATTAACTCTAAACACCTGCAAAAGACTCCTGAGGCTTTTAAAAACTCCCAGCCTGGTTCCTTACTCAAAACCACAATCATGGGTAAGACTGCCGACCTGACTGCTGTCCAGAAGGCCATCATTGACACCCTCAAGCAAGAGGGTAAGACAAAGAAAAGACATTTAAGAACGAATAGGCTGTTCCCAGAGTGCTGTATCAAGGCGCCTCAGTGGGAAGTCTGTGGGAAGGAACAAGTGTGGCAGAAACCGCTGCACAACCAGAAGAGGTGACCGTCACTGAGGAAGATTGTGGACAAGAACCGATTCCAGACCTTGGGGGACCTGCGGAAGCAGTGGACTGAGTCTGGAGCAGAAACATCCAGAGCCACCGTGTACAGGCGTGTGCAGGAAATGGGCTACAGGTGCCGCATTCCCCAGGTCAAGCCACTTGTGAACCAGAAACAGCGGCAGAAGCGCCTGACCTGGGCTACAGAGAAGCAGCACTGGACTGTTGCTCAGTGGTCCAAAGTACTTTTTTCAGATGAAAGCTAATTTTGCACGTCATT